TTATTGAAATACATGTTTACTAAACTTCATATATTAATTCTTTATTTTTTGATAACTAGTTAATTCATCCTGAATATCCAGGCATCACTTGATTTTTTTCCTGTTTGATTTAGGTATTCTAGCATTGACAGATTTAAAGAGACTTTCAGAGAGATAGACAAGGAAAATTTTAAATCTTCCTGCCATTGGGGATTTCTACCCTAGATGAGTTTAATGGGGGAAATGAAGAGAAGATGCACAGAAGATGTCTAAACAAAATCAAGAGAGGAAAGAGAAGGACATATTGCCCTGATGGAACATCTAGAAAATGAAGCTCACATAGACATTGGGGCATTCCACTCCTAACTAATATTAAAAAAGTACCATTATTTTTTTTCTTTTTCCAGGAATCAATTTTTGGTCTTCCCCATAATTTAAATAAAAAATTATCAAATTGACCAGTATCCTCCAGGTTATCAAACATGGCTACCCATATCTAGGTTTTTCAAATATTTTTTAATCTAGTAAAATCCTGAATACAAGGGAGAGAGACTTGGATGTCACAATGTTTGTCAAATACTCTTGTTGATCCCTTCTGAATAAGGGGTCCAAAACCATGATCGGTACTGTTGGAATTCCAACTTTCCACATTGAGCAGGAATACAGAGAGGAATAGGATTCTGCTTACATATGAATTTTATTGCTATGGGGAGAATTTTACAGAATAATTCAGGATTCTTAAACCTAGGAATAGACTGCAAGGAATGAATACTATTTCTGATTTGGGTAACAGAGTACAGATTCTCCCCAGAAAAACTTGAGGTTGATAATATGTAAACTTACTCTGCTTCTCAATCCCTTCTTTCCCCACACTCAGATCCTTGTAAAAGGGCTATTAATAGCTGAGTGTAGCCACTTAGGGCCATGCTGTCTAGACACATAGAAACTTTCTGTATTACCCTGTTTCTTCAGCCAAAAGTAGTCTTAATTTATTCTGAGATTAGAATGGAAAACATAATATTTTTCTTTTTTTTCAAAAAAAAATTATTACAACCAAGCTTTATTTACAGGTCAATCCCAGTTCCCTCTCCCTCTTTCCTCCCCTGTCCACCAAAGCTCCATCCCAACCTCTTTCTGCTCTTGAGAGTGTTTGAGGACTTCCCAGGGGGCCCTTCAAAGTCTGACAAATTGTTTGGAGCAGGGCCTAGACGCCCCCCATATGTCTAGCGGGAAAGAGTATTCCTTTATGGAGAGAGGGCTCGCAAAGTCCATTCATATACTAGGGATAAATACTGATCCACTACCAGAAGCCCCATATATTGCCAAGACCTCCAAACTGACATAATTGCTTGGATTCTGGAACAGTCCTGTGCTGGTTTCCAAGCTATCAGTCTTAGGTCCATGAGAAACTTTTTGTTCAGGTCACCTGTCCCTGTGGATTTCTTCTGTCTGGTCTCGACCCCCTTGCTCATCACTCCTCCTCCTCTGCAACTGGATTCCAGACTTAAGTTCAGTGCTTGCTTCTGGGTGTCTGCCTATGTTTCTGACAGCTACTGGATGAAGGTTCTAGGATGGCATATAATGTACTCATCAATCTCAGTATCTGAGAAGGGCATTTAAGATAGCCTCTCATCCACTGCTTAGATTGTTAGTGGGGTTCAAACTCATAGATCTCTGGACAATTCCCTAGTGCCAGAGTTCTTTTTAAACCCATAATGTCTCCCTGGAGTGTGATATCTCTTTTCTTGATCTCCTCATTTCTTACGCTGACTAAATATTCCTGCTCTGTCATGTCCTCTTCTCCTGTTCTCTTTCCTCTAGCTCCCTCTCCCCTCCCCCCAATTAGCTCAGGTGATCCTCTCCCTTTCCCCTTATGCAGGGGACCATGCAAATCCCTTTTAAGGTCATCATTGTTTCCTAGCTTCTCTAGCAGTGTGGATTGTAGGCTGGTACAACTTTGCTCTATGTCTAAAATCTATATATGAGTGAGTTCATACAATTTTTATCTTTTTGTGACTGGGATACTTCCCTCACAATGGTTTCATCTAATTCCATCCATTGGCTTTCGAATTTCAATATTCCATTGTTTTTGTTGTTGTTTGTTTGTTTTCTGCTGAATGGTACTCCATTGTGTAAATTTAGCACATTGTCTCTATCCATTCTTCAGTAGAGGGACATCTAGATTGCTTCCAAGTTGTGGTATATTCCTAAGAGTGAAATTGCTGGATGTTGTGGTAGATTGATTCTCATTTTTCTGAGGAACCACCATACTGATTTCCAAATTGGCTGCACAATTTTGCACTCCCCCCAGAAGTAGAGGACTGTTCCCTTTTATCCACATCCTCTCCAGCATAAGCTACCATTGGTGTTTATTTTTTATTTTAGCCATTCTGACAGGAATAAGATGATATCTCAAAGTAGTTTTGATTTGCATTTCCCTGATGGCTAAGGATGCTGAGTACTTTCTTATATATTTTTCAGCCATTTTAAATTACCCCATTGACAATTCTCTATTTGGTTCTGTACCCCACTTTGAGCCATCTGAGGCATGGGACCTGCAGATGCCATCCTGGTGTGTTCCAGACCACCCAGAGAATGCCTTTCTTTGCCCATGGAATTTAAGAGGTAGTCTTAAATTGTTTCCATGTTCTGAAAATAAATGATACTAAGTTTGCTTTGAAGTTGCCCAGAACCCAGAATTTAATAAGAGTTGGCTTGACAGAATTAGATGGATGGTCCTATCCCTTTGTAGTAAACCCTTGACTACTAGAAGCTAGTCCTTTGGTTTCTTAGAGATCTAAGTAAGACAGACATGAACATGTTTCTTCACTATGTTATCACCAAAATTCTGATGTACAGTTGGATTTCTGTGCCTTACTTTCTTGTATTCTCCATTAAGAATGTGATATATGATTTCAGAGGTGTTTGCATGATACAGTAGGAACAGGGTCTGTTTATTGTGACTGCCTGGCAGATGACAGATAATAGCTTTCACTTGTTCACTATATACATGTGTCCCTTCTCCACTGCAGGCTCCTACATTTCACATTATGAGTGTGAAGAGTGTTTCAGCACTTGCTAAAGATACTAAATACTACAGTTACATAGTGTTGTGAGAGAAGGGAAGAACTTGTCAAAATATAATTGTATAGTTAATGATATGTGAGACTGTCTTGTAGAAAGCACATTTGAATTTGCAGCAGCTCAGAGATAAATACTAGGTAATCTGCTGCCAGTAACAACCATAAAATCATAAGCATCAGGCTATTTGGGTATGGATTTTCAAATCTTAGGACATCTCTGTATCTTAAAGCTTATGCTTTATTTGTAACAACACCAACCACTTCACAATTATTAAAATCATGGTGAGGTAGCTTATTCTTTTTCTCCACAACAGCTTTGATTTATTGCCATATTATGCACTAAGCATATACACTTATGTGTGTTTTCATATTTTATATCCTGTGATATAATCAAGCTGAACATTCCACTAACAATAGAATACAGGTAGATGCAGAAAATTATTGGTCCATTACTTATTTGCTTGCTTTCACATGATGAAATTGAGAAAATAAATGTCAGAAGAATAATACTCTATTTGAGTCTCATTGTAACAAGTAACTTTAAAATTACTGAAATTTACATGAATTGAAGAAAGCAGGCATGCTCAGTACATTGTCCATAAGCATCAGTGAGATGCATTAGGTCTGGGTACAACTACTCAGTCTCACAGGACAATAAAAACAAGAAAACATTTTTTCTCTTTTCCTGACATTGCTCTTTTCTGAACTCCTGTACTGATTCACCTTTTTAATTTTTGCTTTCCATAGGAAATAGTGATGTGTAGAATCAAGTATCACTTCTCTCCTGTTCCTAATAATGCATTTCTAACTTAGACACCTTCCCTTTACTTATTTTTACTTTTATCTCTATAGCTAGATCTCTTTATAGCATTGATAAATAGTTATTTTCAAAATGGTAAATATTGCCCTTTAACATGTCTGCATTTTATTTCATAGACCCCCCCTCCTAACATGTGATTTTTTTGAGACTAGCACTACTTTTCAAAATTTACATGACCTCTCCTGATGTGGTGTTAGATCTCTCCTTTTGAACTTCACCCTGTCTGTGACTTCTTTCTTTACACAGGATCACTAATATTCAATAATTATATTTCCCATATCCAGGCTGAAGAGCACAATCAAGGAAGTGTTTGGACAAGTTATGCAATCTTAGAAAAACCTGGTCAGTAAATAGGAATATTAAGCATGGGAACTGAGGTAAACTATAGAATATAACACATAGAATAAATATTTAAACACCAGGTTTTTGACAATGACTAAAATTAATAATTCAAATGTGTTCTACGTAGGTGGAGGAATTTCAGCACCTATAAAGGAACAAGATGAAGATCCTACCCTGTAACAAGTGTGTGCAATCCTGTAAGAAATATATGATTCCATTCTTTTCTTCTTGTTACATTTATGAGTATTATCATACTTTATAACCTTCATGAATTCACATATCAGGTATTTTACACAAAATTGTGACAATATAGAAAGTCAGAAATAAGGAAGAAGTAAATGCGAACAAGGAATTAGAATCTTTCAGTGACGTGTAGGAGGCAGTGAGTTATACATGAGGAGAGTTAAAAGAAAACACTTGAATTATATTTTTCTTAATGTGATGCCATGGGCATAGAGCATCCAGTGCTAAGTTTCCAAATAAGAATTACCAAGAACATAGAATATGTTGGCTGCTACCTAGTAAGCCTGCTAGATGTTACTTAGATAGGTTTGACCCCCAGAGTTCAGAGAAACATGTTAGATTAATACAAATTGATGGTACATATTGAGACAGCGTCATGTTACCCAGCAGTAGCCTAAATGGACCTTGGTATAAATTTGGTTCACAGGTCAAATGTCTGAGAACACAACCGGCAAATGCAGTGAAGAGACAACTTTTTTGCTTCGAGTATGTTAGGGAATAACAAACCTCACTCCTATTCAAAGTGTTCAAGTACGGATGGATAGCATAAAAATGGGCATAGCGAAATAGTTCTGGAGCCCATGCTAATGATACATTGAATTTTGTGACCAATGTTTCCATGAGTATCATGATAGTCTTGGAAAAAATCCTTCAATTTAAAATGTTTCTATATTTAATTATTAAATTTAGAATGATACTTCCTTGGCACATAGTTCATATTTATCAGTGAGAGGCAGGAATGGGTGTGATTACTATGTCTTTATAGTGTTCAATTCTAGTGCAGGTTTTCACATAACCCTTTGATATCTTTGTACTTTGTTTTTTTGAGAATAGGTTATATGCATTCTCTAGATATTTTTTACTCTTTAATTTTGTCTCTATTAATATCCCTTCAAGAACAAGCATGTGGAACTCACAATTTTATAGATATTTGTAACACTTGTGAAATACTTCTTTCCATTGGTGTGTACCATAATGCCTTATTGGTGTTTTTAAATAGTGTTTAATATTTCAATTTAAAAACCTCTGGTCCTCTTGTCACTGATTTCCATTTTATTATCACCAATATTTACTTATCAAAGGCAGCCTAGAGAGGAGCAAAGGGTTAGAATTTTGATCATGTAGGCAGCAGAAGAGCAGCTGAACAAAGATGTATCATCTTTAGAACTTCATCAATGAAATACAGATAAAGATGAGTCATGGTAGCAGCAAACAGGGTGCTGGGATAAATATGTGATAGAAGATGAACAAGGAAAGAGTTATAATGATTTATTTATATGTATGTGCAATCTGTGTGTATGAGAGAGAGAAAGTGTGTAGATGTAGGAGGGGAAATGTGGCATATACGAGGATACAGGGGTGTAAATAGAAAAAAAGAAGGAGGAAAAGGGAATAAGAAAGATGAGATCATGCTGCTTAGTTTATGTCAACTTAATGGAAACTATAGTCAACTTGTAAGAGGGTATCTCAATTAGCAAAATGCCTTGTTCAGATTATCCTCTGGACTTGGCTGTGGTAAAATTCTTGATTGATTATTGATATGTAAGGGCCATTCCTATGTGCATAATGCTACCCATGGACAGGTTTTCATGGGTCTTAAAAGACAGTGAGATACGGGGTTATGTCATGGTTTCTGCTTCAATCCTGGGATTCAGGTAACTGGCTTAATCTTTAACCATGAATTCCCTTGATGATGAACTGTAAGTTGTAAGAAGATTCAATCTACACCACTCAAATTGTTATTGGTCAGGGTTTTTCATCACAGCACCAGGCAAATAATACATGACACAGAGACATGAAAAGCATGGAGAAAGTATGTGTGCAAGAGCTGAGCGCTAAAGTGTTTGCTGAGATTGTTTGGCCCTTCTTTTTGTATATGGTCTTGAATAAAAAAGAAGCTTCCAGTAGTTCCCATTATAAAAACATTTTGCTAGATGTATATCATTTCATGGAAGTATATGTTAAAAGTAATAACTCAAATGTTTTATTTCATCATTTCCTAGGTAGCTTATCATGATGTGACAGCTGAATAACCTCAATAGCTGAATGAACTTCTTGGAAGAATTTGCAGAAGGCATGGACATGGAAATAGTCAAGGTTGAATGTTTTTTTCCTCCATTTTAATTGTGAACCCCACATTCAAATGGATGCTCACTCAACATAAAATAACAGTAATTCATTATGTCATTCCAACAGTTGTCTGTGATAATCTGAAATTTTTGAGGCACCAATCATTAGATAGAGAACAAATCAATTTTCTTACTTACAGAAATATTATTTGAAAGGTTTTATTAATCTGGACAATTCTATAACCAGAACTTCACAGTTTTACAGGTAAAATTAGCTAAAAAAAGAGAAAAATGTTTTGTTTCATTAATGAAACTATATTTTCGTATCAATAGAGATTATATTTTAGCAAAAAAGCTATAGCAATGTGACTATAATTAAATATTCTAACACATGCTTGTTGAAATTCTGTTTATAATTCCCTTTAAGACAGAACATCAATATCATGGCATTTATAGGGGCTGTCATAGATTAGAAATGAAATTCTTCACCATTAAAGCAGTCTATCAGCACAGATGATGTCAGTGCGCAGAAAATGATAGATAAGTGAACAGCACAATTTTCCCAGAGTTGGACATAAAGGAAAACTAAAAAAAATCTGAATTGCAATTTTAAAAGTTCTTCTATTTTAATTGTAAATAATGGTCTCTATTTATATCTATAAATACATATTATAGCACAAATATATAAAAATTGCTGAGAAATATATGTGGTTCAGTGGTAAGTTTTCTCAGCAATTAAGAACATTTCTTCCTTTTCCACATATCCACAGTATTAATCCTCATACCCCAACTACAGCAAACTGCTGTCTCCATTTCTGGTACTACTGTATCTGATTCCCCCTTAAACCTTCTATGCACAAAAGCCACAGACTTACATGATGCAGAAGAATATATGCACATGAAATAAACACTGAAAAGTTGGCTTATGCAAGTCTCAAGCAAGTTTAATATCTTACTTGACCAGTGGCTGTTTTTTATTACACAAAAAGTGAAGACTCTAGAATTCATGCAAATGGCATAGTTTTGATATGTTCAGAGTGTAATTTAGGTAAAGATACAGATTATTTCACTATATTTTCCAGTTCTCAAAAGATGTCTTTACATAGCCTTTACTACCACTTCCTAAGCCCAATTCTGAAACTATATTTACATCCCTCAATCACAAAACAAAATTATGCATAACATAATTCAGCCCTCTATTTCAGTTGGTAGAATAGTTTCTTTGTATGCAGAACTATTAGGTAACTGTTATGTCTAAACTGTCGAGAGGAAGGTTGTTCATAGAACTGAGAAACACAAATCCCTTTGGCGAATCAGCCAACTCAGCAAATTTCTAGTTTCATAAATTACCTCTGAGTGAGAAACATAGTCTGTAGTGGAATTGCCTTTACATTTTTTATGGAGCTGTAGGTATGCATTTCAGAATTTTCTCCCACACTCCTGTGGGCTTTGGGCAATACATCTGTTTTTGCACCACACATGCTTACTCATGGTTCTGTATGTAACATCATTAAATAATTGTATTTTACAGGAAGTTATTAATATTTGGCTTTTAATCCATGTCCTTTCTGGGTAAAACTGACCTTTACATATGTCATTCCAGGAAAAGACACACAGGAGGAAAGTATACCTGTATATACGTGAAGAAAATTTCCTTACCAGTGGTCAATGAAGTTTAAAATTGCAGTTAATAGGGATTATATTTAGGTTTATTCACTTCTTGTGCTTTAGCTGTAGGTCAGGTAAGGTTGAAATTTTACACTCATATGATCCTTTTGATGCAGACTCCTGTGACCAGTGATCACCAGAGCTTATGTCCATATATGCTCAGGTATGGTTTACATTTTTCAATATATTTTTGAGTTAACATTTTGAATATTGTTTTTTTTCTGAAACACAACTTAATAATTATTTGATCTTATGAGTTGCAGAATTGCCATAATCTTTTGTTTTATTTTTAGAAAGAATTTTGTGGGTTCCTTACTATTTATATACCCACAGGTTATGTTATTTTCCCAAAGGTATAATTATTTGTTTATCATATCAAGGGACTATACTAAATACATGATTCTTTATGTTATTTCCTCATCTAATAAACCTGACAGTTTCTTTGAAACAAAATTAAATAATAATATGGAGGGAATGAGCATCTTTTAAAAATTATATTCTATGTGTATAGTAGAACTTATCAATACTGTTATTTTAATCCTGAAAGAATGTGACTCTTAATTGTTTAATTTTGTTTCTCTTTTTTTTTTTGCTTTGATTTAACATTGTATTTGGAAGACATTTTTTTTATTCCTTTATTCATTATTGATTTAACTTTATGTGTGTGATTACTTTTCTCCCATAAATGTCTTTGAATGCCTGCTTGTCTTGTTTCTTTTAATGGTCAGAAAATGTTGTAGGATTTCCTGCCTTGGAGTTACAGACATTTGTGAGGTAATGTGTAGTTCCTAGAAATCAAAGTAGTGTATTCTAGAAGACCAGGCAGTGTTTGTAAGTGTTGAGCTGTCCATCCTGACATTTTCGCTTATTGTTCTTTTCCCTTGATCTTACATCATATTTGTCTGCCATTTTCTGTAATGAGGTAACTGTTACTTTTCTAAAAATACTGTATAATTTCTCTTCATCATGGAGTTACTCCTCAAATTGCCACATGACCTGAAGGGGGAAATGGCCACATCAGCTTCTGTGGGACAGCTTTCATGGATCTGAATTTGGATTCCTAAATATGAAACCTGTGAGTGGTGCATGGATTAATTATTTCAGATATGGAATTGATATTCAAGGTATTCATCCTTTCAAAAAATGAAAAAAAAAATATGCTATTAGTTTTTATGAGATTTGGGGTTACAGGGAGAGTTGGAAGTGACGGAAAGGATAGGAGTGATGTAATACAGTACTTATACATGAAATTCTAATAAAATAAATGAAGCATACCAAAAAAGACTTCAGGATGCTATTAACATAGTGTATAGTGAATATTTTACAATATCTCATATTAATACTTTCTCTACTCTATGGGTCTGTTAAAGGTATTAAACAAATATTCTCTCCCCCTAGACCATTTGAGTCCTGTAGGCTCTCAGGATTTTGGAGTATTAATTCATATTTCAAAAATGCTTAGCTTCTGTTTATTGCAATATATCTTAACACAATGAACTTTGAAAAATTCTTTATCTGTTGCCCGGTACATCAGTTTATAAGATGATTTGACTGTATATTTAATTAGTTAAGAGTTAGGAGATGGCTTAGTTAAGAATCTACATGCGGTGGAGGAGACAGAGTTTTCTTCTGACCACATAGAAGAGAGAGAGAGAGAGAGAGAGAGAGAGAGAGAGAGAGAGAGAATGGAATTGTCTATCTAGAATTCCAGTATGGGCTATAACATCTATGATTAATTTGTTATGTATGGATTTAATGATAGACTGTATCTCTGAAAAATTAAGTTGGAGTGGACATGCCTGTGCCCATAACTTGCATGCACATATTTATGAACAAATATACACACATCTACATTCAAGCATATGATATGTAATGGTTCCCTTTTCAAGACAGGGCCTACTATAGAGTCTGGGATAGTCTGACAACAACCATATATACCACATTGTCATTAAATTCTCAGAGATCCACCTGAGTTTCTTCCACCCTGTGTTAGGATTAAATTCATGTAATATTATGATTGAGTTAATTCCTAATTTTAATATTTATTCCATCCATAAATACTTTTAAAATATGACAATAAAATATACACACTTTGAATAGAGAAAGTGCTTATTAAATTCAAATATTTACTCTTCATGTCTTGCTGTCGTATCCCTGTTACATATTTTGGATTCCTTGATGAATTTTAGGTGGGCTTGACCATAAGAACATAGGAAGGGAATAGTCCTAATACCTAATGGGTTTAGGGATTTTAGGATTCTTTGCAATACTGAGATTCAATTCATTGAATTAGAACATTTACATTGCATTTTTAAAATTAAACCAATCTTATCTTACATACCAATCCCAGGTGCCTTTCTGTGCTCTTCCAACATTCTTCCCACCATCTCCCCATTCTACCAGGCATCCACTCCCCCAAGAGGGTGTGGCCTCCCATGGGGAATCATCAAAGACTGTCATATTCTTTGGTGCATGACCTAGGCCTGCCCTCATAGGGAATGGGCTCCCAAAGCCCATTCATATACTAGGGATAAATACTGGTTACACTGCCAGCAGCTGCCATAGATCACCCAAGCCCCCCAACTGACACATATACACGGGGCTTGGTTCAGTCTTATGCAAGTTCCCAGCTGTCAGTCCAGGGTCCATGAGCTCTCATCTGCTCAGGTCAGCTGTTTCTGAGGGTTTCCCCAGTATGGTCTTCATCCCTTTGGTCATCATTCCTTACTCTATACAATTTTATTCACAATGTTTGTAGGTATTATTATGATTTGTAAAATGTGTTTGTTACTATTTTATATTATTTGGAATAATTTATTTTGTTAACAATTTTTTACACCAATGAGACTTCAGAATGAATATATTTAATATTAATGAGTATCATTACACTAAGATCCTTTATACTAATATTCCACCAGCTTTAAAAGCTCTGGAATAAAATATTAATTAATCATATTGTTTAAGTACTGAAACTGAGTTTTCACAGCTTAGAATTGAAAAACTGTCTCTGCTATCTGATTGAAGTTAGCACATGATATTAAACTGCCTAGCCATCTCCATACTTGAGAGATTTGCATGGATGATCATTACAAGTACAAAGTCATTACCTCAAACCAAAGCAATACAACTCTATTAAGAAACATATATAAAGGAATTATTTTTAGCCAGGCAGTGTTGGCACATCCGTTTAATCCCAGAACTCAGGAGGGAGAGGCTAGGGCAGGTGAATCTCTGAGTTTGAGGCCAGTGTGGTCAATGCAGCAATTTCCAGGATGGCCAGGGCTACACAAAGAAACCCTCTCCCACAAACCCAAAATCCAAACAATCACCACCGCCACAACAAAATGATCATTTTTAAAAAATATGGTCTCAGCATAAGGCACTACTGTCAAAAAAGAGAAGAATAGTCAATTTGAAAAAAAATATGAGCATGCAATTTATGTAAAGAAGATATAACAAATTTATATTATATCAAAGATTAAGGAATTATTTGCAGTTTTATTATATAAATACAGAAACAATGAGAGAGCACTTCTTAATCTAGTATCACTTTTCATAAAAAGATCGTATTACATAGTTCTTCCAGGTGTCTTAGTGTTCTTGAAGGAATTACATTGTTTTCTTTTCATAATCTGTATATATTTGTTGTTAAATTCAGTTCTCAAATATTTATATGCATATTACCCTCATCTTTTGTAGCTAAAATTATAAATAAGTTATATTTATTTGAATGTCGTTATTTTAATGTATGTCATGTACTTCTGCTAAAAAAGTCTCACTGGGTTGCTCGCTGTCACCTCAAACTCATCACTGAAGCCAGGCTTCCTCTCACCATCATGAGAAGCTCACCAAACAGATTCAGACAACAAGACTCTGCTGTTGGCTTGGTAAAAATCGCATGCTTTCTTACTTTAAATATTTACTTTCCTTGTTTTTTTATAAAATTAAATTGAAAATTTGTATTTTCTCATCTACTACTGGTTTTCTGCAATTATATTTAGATCTAACCATGTATTTATAAGTCCTTGATTTCTGTGCATAAATTTCCTCCTTCACAAACTTATAAATCATTCTTTGCATTAGGGATTACTTAAGAAGCCTAGTATCCAGTTTTCATATTCTCAACGTTCCCAAGGATTCTATTTAACACAATGTTCAATGGTAGTCTTGATAGAAGTTAGTTTGGATTTTCCTTAAATATGCTGATATCTGGAGGCATTTAGTATGTATAAGTCTGGTATTTTCAGTTCAGTTTTTGGAATATCATCTGAGTAACTAATATTTGAGTATTCTTTGAATAGATTACTGCAGAGTATGTGCCACTAAAAGACAAATTCTTTCTATGGTAGCATGCACTAATTGCCTGTAGCTTTCTGGTCATAGATGGTGCCATCCAAAATGGCATGTCAACATCTGGTAATATTTTGCTAATCTTCTTTATATAAGTGTGTTTTTGAGATTTCAAGGTTGCAGCATCCATATGCTGTGGAGAAAACACCTTGAATTCAGAAGACACCTGTTCCTCTGGATCTCATACTCTGTCTGGTATTCTTCTGAAAGGTACTCTGAGTCTTGCCTAAATTGTTAATTTTCAGATTTATCAGTTTGTGTTTGAATTTTAACTGTGTTTTCAGTGTCTATTCTTATACTCACAGACAATTTTTGCTACAATATCAGCAAATAAGCTTCATTTGGCAGTAGAAAGAAACCATTAGAAAATTCTACAACTGCGCAAATGCAAAGAACAACTAACAGCTAAGTGTCCAACACCAACTGAGAAATTTTGTTCTGTTATGCTCAGAAATTTAGACAGACTGTTTCACAGTTAGTAGTTTTATAGGCAGAGTACCAAGATAAGACCCCCAAATAACCTGTGATCTCTGTGAGCCCCCATTATTACCATCCAATGGATTCGGTTGGACATGCTCATGTAGTGCCACTGATGCCTCTGGTTACTACAACCCTTCCATCCCCTGTTCTACATCACCAAGCTCTTTCTAATGTTTGAAGATGCATTCTGCCCCTGCTATTTTAGAAAACTGGCCAAATTTGGTTCTTTTCCATAATCAATAACCACCATAGTCATGGGTAGTTATTTGGCTAGATTTGCAGTAATATGCATAAATTCTATTCTTATTCTTGATCAGAGTATAAATCTCAACTATTCACCAGAGATGTCATAAATATTCAGGTGTGTCTTTGTGACACAAGTCATGCATATAATAAGCACTAAGATTTTGGAAATGATGACAGTTAAGAAATTTGGGAAAAATAATGACTCACTTTTTACAAAGTTTCTGTCTGTTAACAAATCACCTGATTAAAAGAATTCCATATAACGTATTAGTTGTTCATAGTACTGTCAGTATTAAAAACTAGGTTTCACAGTACTGAATTCTAAAGGAAGACACTCTTCTCTCAATGAAATAACTGTATGGATTTAAACTGATTTGCTATTCCAATAACAGTGGGATTTTACATACATACATACATACATACATACATACATACATACATACATGCATACATACGACCTAAATACTTAAAATGTTCACCAGAATCAAACCACATTCTTCTGATAGTCCTTCTAAAGATATACAAATCTAGTGAAAAAATAGTATCAGAAGAAGGCATGTGAAAAAAGCAGTGTGTCTAAAAACAGAAGAAAATTAATTGAATTTAGTCATTGAGCACATAATTTTTGTTAATAGGTCACATATAATAACCTTATTTTATCTAAATAGATAAGTTTCAGTTTATTAGGTATTTTATTATGTTAATGTATACATCTTAATCTTAATTCATCTTCATCATCAAATGGCTGCAATCTGAAATTATTTCATGAGTTTTATTTTAGCATTGTTAGAAGAATTTCACTGTATCTTTACTTATTTATGAACAGTCTGTGTTAAGT